TCATGTAAGCCAAATCGAATTGTAGCAAAAGGTACGCTTTTCCTTACGAGTTTTCTCCGAAGCACAACGAACTTATTTCCGTGACGATCGACAAGTTGACGTCAATGTCACGAGGATGATTTCAGTGTTTTAAGACTGAAAATGGCGTCCGGCACCTAGCTGAAATAACCTCGAGACAGCAAAAAATCCTCTTGCGTTGCGCATCTGGTGAAGAGTTAAGCTTGCGAACTGATAAAAAATCTTACTGATGGCTGGGGCGTCGCGGAAAAACCAGTTCAAAGTGGTTCTGTTAGGAGAGGGCTGCGTTGGGAAAACTTCCCTCATGCTTCGTTATGTACAAGACAAGTTCAACGATAAACATTTAACTACGTTGCAAGTAAGTGATTCGCCGTTTTTGATGAAGCATATGCCTCATCACGAGACAATCACACCTAGCGATAAATAAGATTGTATGCTTGGTGGAAATAGTTGATTCATTTATATTGCCAAGTCATTTCTTACGGAACACTGATTAAATCGCCAAACTGATGTTGTTTTGGGGAATTAAGCTAACTTGTTATAATTTCCCACGTTTCGTGTAAATTAAATAGATGAGCGATTAACAGCGTTACAATTTCCCGAGCTTATAATGGAATAATTATTGAAAACTGTACATTATCAAGAAATTCAAGTCAATATTGTACAAATGTAAGCTTATGTTCATCACACATTGCTTCATGAAGGTCCAATTAGCTACATACGTCATCCCAAAACAAACTTTCCCTTAGGAGAAGTCTTAAATTTTGACAGTAATCTCACTTGTGAAAATATATGTTTCTCTGGAATATTTGAGTGAATTTGCGAGAGTCTGAAATACAAATTACTTAGTGGTCACTAAATGATTTTCTTTAATCTGTTTGTGACTGGGTGTCAGCATGCCTTTTTCAATTGATTGGAGAAACATTAATTACTTTGTTTAGGTTGGTGTCCAGTTTCACTCTGCTTGTAGTTGTAAGTTACACTTTTATGACCCCTTGTAAATCAGTGGTACAGATTCAAAGATATCTGAATGTTCCAGTAAACAAACAATAAGGATACAAGACAACACCTGTCTCAATTTATTCAACTCAGCCCTACAGCCTGGGACACTTATCATGGCAGTACTTCCCATGGCCAAATAGGGATTTAATGCTCTACTACCCAATGTTGCAAAATAGAAAACTGCACTGAGACTCCATTTTTTTTGAATAACTGCTTTCCTGTTTTCCTTTTTTATTTATTTTCCTTGTTGTGTATATTGTCAAGTTGTACCGTACACCACACATTTAAGTAGTCTCCACACCTGCACTGCACTTTGGATGAGATTGGAAACTAAATTGTCCTGTTATTGTTAGATAGATACTAACAGGGTTTAGAAAATGGCCCAAAGAAAATATGTGTGCTGATTGGTTTAGAATCATGTTTCTATTTAACAATATTAGATTATTCGCTCTCGATTTCTATGAGGTGATAGTTGATGAGGCCGAAGGCATGCATAGAAACAGTTGTGAAAGTTTGAGAGAACTCGAAAAAAATGTGCAAGTAATTGCCTTATGGCTAGTGTTCCCACAACATTTCTCGTTCTCCAAAACTTTCACTCATGTTTGTATTGCTTGATAGAAACACAGTACATGTTTTCTATTTCTTAAAATTAATCAATCCAAACTGTAACAGGGTGGTTGTGTTCGGACTTCAAGTTTCTTTAAAATTCTCTCCAGGATTATGAGGGCAGAACTCCTACAGACATCTTTGCAAACAGTACTGATACAAGTTCTTCTTTGTTTGTTCCTTTGTTTGTTTCAGGCATCATTCTTGAATAAACGACTAAATATAGATAATCAGCGAGTCAACATTGCAATTTGGGTAAGCCAGTTGATTTGAAGAATAAATGTCTACAGTATAAATATAGATAATCAGCGAGTCAATATTGCAATATAGGCAAGCCAGTTGATTTAAAATTAGGTAATCAAGTTACAGTATGGGCAGTATGGTCAAACTGTTGTGGTTCAATGGTTTGTGGTACAGGACACTTAAAACATGAGGACTGATGGTTCAGCCCATGGTTCATGCCCTTGTTTCTTCACCCATGTGCAGCAACGCGTAGTGTTGAACTGCTGAGACTAACAGACAGCCTGCGATGGACTAACATCCTATCCTAAGAGCTAAGGAAGATTGTACTCTTTACAGTCAAACTGGATATAAGTAGGCATGTTTGTCTATTCTTAAGGAGTCTAGTTATTTATGTATT